TAGAAAGTGAAAAAAATAATTTTCTTATTAAGCCATTGTGTAATCTTTAACAATTTTTATTATCTAGAACTAGATTTCCTTTGGTTATCAGACTACCATAAGAAAATTAGATTACTTAGAATTTTTCACTTACCTATATAAGTATATAAAATATAAAAAGTAGACTGTTTCCTGATCCTTTGCATCCAGACCAACCTAGTTCCTTCTCGAGGTCCCCAGGAGCCCCCTGGGCCTGGTCCCACCCTCAACAAATGAAACTCAAACCCAGCAAACAGAAAGAAATAAAAATTAGGGCAGAAATTAATGAAATCAAAACAAAGAAAACAATACAAAGAATCAACGAATCCAAGAGTTTGTTCTTTGAAAAGGTAAACAAGATTGACAGACTGCTATCCCAGTTAATCAAAAGAAAGAAAGAGCACCTCCAAATCAACAAATCAGAGATGAAAGGGGAAACATCACAATGGACACCAGAAAGATACAGAACATTATAAGGGAATACTTTAAAAAACCTATATGCTACTAAATTTGAAAACTTAAAGAAATGGACGGATATCTAAAGGCATGGGAACCACCAAAACTAAACCAAGAAGAGATTAGAGCTTAAACCCATAACGCAAAAAGAAATCGAAACAGTAACACAAAACCTCCTTACTAAAAAAGGCCCAGGACCAGATGGATTTACAGAAGAATTCTATCAGACATTTAAAGAAGATCTACATCCAATACTACTGAATTTATTCAAAAAGATAGAAATGGAGGGAGAACTTCCAAATTCCTTCCATGAAGCCAGCATCACTCTAATACCAAAGACAGACAAAAGTACAACCAAAAAAGAAAACTATAGACCCGTATCCTTAATGAACATAGATGCAAAAATTCTCAAGAAGATACTTGCAAACCACATACAGACACACATCAAAAAGATCATCCACCATGATCAAGTCAGCTTTATCCCAGAGATGCAGGGATGGTTCAATATACGTAAAGCAATAAACGTCATGAATCATATAAATGGGCTCAAAGACAAGAACCACATGGTCATCTCAATAGATGCAGAGAAGTCCTTTGATTAAATTCAACATGCATTTATGTTCAAAGTCCTAGAGAGAATTGGACTGAAGGGAATATACCTCAACATAATCTAAACCATATATAACAAACCCACAGCCGACATCATTCTAAATGGAGAAAAACTGGAAGCAT